AAATAAACACTATCGCAAGAATGAAACTTCCCATACCAATTATTAGAATAATGAAATCTGCGAACTCTGTTCTCTTTGAGGATAGCTTCTACGTCTTACTACAAAAACCAGGGGGCTGCCTTAGACCCTAAGAGCTACTATATAAAACTAGGGGTAGTTCCTCGGGGTAGCTATTGCCGATAGAGGGTAGCTCCGCCCGATAGAGGGAGCTATCGCTCCTACGAAATAGCTCACATAGGTACCTACAGCTCCTGACGCTGATGCTATAATTAAATACTATACGTTTTAACCGTATATTTGTAGAACAAGAAACTACTATTATTTTCGGCGGGATACAAACCCAGCGAGGTATAATAGTGCTGGCGGTACACGACGATTTTCATGGGAATGGTGCATTTAATGATGCAAGCATACCACTGCATAATTGTAGTATGGACCTTAAACCTTAAAAAATGATTTGACCCGTAGTTCCTGAAATTTCATCCCTTAGGATTGGAATTTGAGGGCGGGGGTTCAAGTTTCATGTGAAAAATGTTGAAACATATAAATTTAGCCACCAAGGCTTGTTTGTAGTCACCGCCGCAAGATTCTAACCTGTTGAATGAACGCAATGCAATGGTCAGAATTTCCGAACAACCACCGGAAGTCATGTTAGACCCCCATTTTTAAAAATGGCCGCCAAAAAGTGACACTTAATGCTGAGCCCAAATGTTGGAGTGTTGGGTATCATTTCAAATGTTTTTGAGGTCTCTGAATACGTCTGTTACCACAAAAATACGAATAAACACACCATATGGCCTTTCGGCCGCGATATAGGGAGATATCGAGTAGGCAATGCATGGCAAGTTTTATGAAAATAGGATGTGCATGTGGCTAGGCAAGTTTTCGAATTAATGATAACATATTAAGGTAGATATGTATTGATTTTAATGTAAATTAACTTCTATTTGTGGACAACAAATAGCATATCGGTGCTAATCATATCGACATATCCTCAGTATCTTGGTCGGGGTCAGACGAAGAGATCGTTCCGTCCAAGCATGGTTCTACCAGCCTACACGGTGTTCCGTGTAGCCATAAGGAGGAAGCTGATGGCCGCATCATCCTGCACACCAAGGATATGGTGGTCTACGGCGCAGAACGTGTTGTGATCCGGAGCACTGACACCGATGTTCTGGTCCTGGTGGTTTCGTTCTTCTTCGAACTGAAAGAGAAGGGGCTCAAAGAACTATATGTTCTCTTTGGATCTGGACTCCATCGTCGCTACATCACTGTGCATGGCATTGCTCGGAGAGGCGAAATCAATCGCATTGGTTTCCATGCGTATACCGGATGCGATACGGTGTCTTTCTTTGGATCCAAAGGGAAGCCTTCAGCGTGGGCTGCGTGGCAGGACGAAACGGCCACAGGTGCATTCGGCAGGCTTGCTTGGTCACTAGATGACCTGACGCTGAGATCATGCAAGCTTTGGAAAGATTTACTGTATCTTTGTACGGTGTGCGGGATGGCTCATGTACTAGTGTCGATCAGGCGCGGACCTTTTTGCTACACAGCATAACCACGTAGGCGCTATCCCTCCAACTCGTGGTGCCCTGGTGCAACACGTCAAACGGTCTGCGTACCAGGCAGGCCATATGTAATTAACTATTTACACATTTTGGTATAAAAGAAACGGTTTCGGAGATATTTACAAAAAACGTAAAAATGAGCTAATTTTTCAACTTTCCCGCCCTCTCCCTCCTAAACCCAACGCTATTTCGGAGAAGACTTTTTACCACATTTAGAGCTAAGGGTGGTGAACAACTTTCAGCAATCAGACCTTTTTATTTTTGGAGTTCAAGGTTCGATGATAATTTGATTGTACTAATAATTACCACACTACAGATCAGGATTCTCAAAGTGAGAATAAAGATATCGAAAGTACTAGTGACTCTATTGTTGAAAATTCAAGACAAAATGAAGAAATCAAGGAGAATGAAAATGCAAAAAGGTTTTAATCTTTTAACCTTAGTGGTTAGTGACACTGTTGGTTCCCTTGTAAGGATCGTCAAGAAACTCGAAACGACCATATGTATTATCAAGGAAACGCAAGACGATCTTGTCCTGCAAGTTCAGAATATAGGTGACCACATTAAGGCGGCAAAACCAGCGGATAGACCAGACAATCTATCAACATTTCCCATTGGAGATATGACCAGCTTCACGGATTATGAAAAACACTTTTCAAATGAAGACTTTAAAAATTATAGTAAGTTCAAATATTGAACAGCTGGAAATGTTTATTTCATTTTTCAGTTATCTCCTTACACTGCATTAGGGGGTACGTCTGTAGAGGATCTAACTAGACGTATTCTTCGTTTTACACTCACCAATTCGTTAGGTATGCTGTGCAACTGGAAGGAGGGCATCAAAAAATGGCACTTGAGAACGGCAAATGTATGAACTGCATCTACAGTGAGTATTTGTTGGAAAACGACACTGTAACGATAATAAGTTTTATCCGTATTGGATGTAATGACCAGTATCAAGGATGTGGTGTGGGTGGCAAGTGTTGATACTGATCATTCATTGTAGTAAGAGAAAAATAACGTGAATTTAAAGTTAAAGTAAGAAAGAAAATGTATTATAATCATGTTGTGGTTTTTAGTAATGATAATTAGAAATAGTATGGCAACCATTGAGATTACATCGGGAATTTATCTTTTTATGAGTACACACCAAATCATCTTTCGTGTGCAAAAATCACCAAGTGTTCTAGACAAAAATTGCACATATCAGCGAGAAAAAATTTTCCGCGAAAAAGAACGATAATCAAGCATCGTGGTGACCTTTGGCAAGTTGATTCGGCCGAATTCACGCACTTCTCTAAAGACAATCGAGGCTATAAATATGTATTAACCGTAATTGATTGCTATTCTAAAAACCCATGGATGCGACCCCTAAAATCGAAGAATGCGAGTGAAGTGAGCAAAAACATGACCGCTATTATATGCGAAGGAAGAGTGCCAGTCAATTTACAAACCGATCAATGAAAAGAATTCTATAATAAGGATTTTGAAAAGTTAATAGAGAAACATGCCATTAATCATTACTCTACGTATAGCGTAAAGAAAGCGGCCATAGTTGAAAGAGTGATAAAAACTTTAAAAAATGCATTATATAAGCGGTTCAGTCTTCGCGGAAGATATAAGTGGATTGATGTGCTAGCGGAAGTGACTTGGGGTAGAATAATACAAGACATTCGACTATTAAGATGTAGCCGCAAAGACATACTTACCAATGTTCCACAATATAAAGATAATGGGACCATCTAAATTCAAAATTGGTGACTTTGTACGAATATCCAAGTATAAATCGGTGTTTTCAAAAGGCTACACTCCGAACTTTTCCAGCGAATTATTCAAGGTGGTTAAAGTAAAGGAGTAAAATCCCGTTACGTACTTATTGGAGGATTCATTTGGTAAACCAATGGGACAATTCTACGCGGAAGAAATGCAGAAAACTGCTCATCCGGATATATTTCTTGTTGAGAAAGTGTTACGTCGTAACTACGTTCGATGGCTTGGCATGGATAAATCACATGACTCGTGGATTAAAAAATCAGATTTAGTATAATCTTTAATTAGATTTATTATACGAATGTATTTTCCAAATATATTGATAAATTAATGTCGACAACAACACTGGCATTATTATTATTCATTAAAGGGTAGTGTGTTAAGGACATCGATAAATTCTTCAAAATGTTATTGATGTTATAAATCACATTGCAGGAGATACATACATCTAGCTCTAGGTAAAGGAGAAATCAGTTTCCGACGATCTATTATCGGAGTAAAATGTAGAGTCCGCTCACTTTGAAGGTTCAAATCTCAAAATCGCTGGAGCCGATATTAATGAAATTTTTGGAACGTATCAATTGGTAAGTTGTTGTTAACATACGTAAATTGTAAATTTTTGCTGCCTTTTTACGTTATCGAATTTTCCTCACAAAAAAGTACTCTAAAATGCGTGATTTGTCGCGATGCTCAACTGTACAGGTCCATAAATAGTTTATTTTTCCACGAAAATTCATACATTTCGGGTATTACATAACCCAATTCTTGCTGTAGCTATTGTAGAAAAAATTATGGAAATATCTTGTTCCCTTTTTGCGTAATTAGCGGAAAAGCAAAAACATTACAACGCAGCTATTATTGAAGGAAACGACTTCATTCTTTTTTTATAAGATGAATAAAATAGCAAACGTCATAAATGCGTACATATTGTCTGAAAACAACTTGTGGATGTTTGTTTTTGTGTAAATTAGCCAATACTCTACGTACGAAACAAGATGAATAATAACCTGCGGTTTTCATGTGTGATGTGCGGCAAACATGTTTTGTTTAACTGGAGCGTTACAATACAATAACCACAGATGGCCATGGCCAATGTAATGTAAATTGTCATTATTATTCTTTCGTGGGTACCTACAGGAACACATGTTCGATAAACCGATATATTATTCAAAACCATAAAAATGGATTGTGGTTCATAATATTTTCTTACATTCAAATATATAAAGGCCAATTGCTCATCCAGAACTACAGTTTAGTTGTCACGACGTATATCTATAATAAAAAATAAAATGCCTCGTTATGTGTCCGTGGAGTTTAAAGAGATTGTTGTGAAGGTAAAAAGGTTTTTCGAAGAAGAAAAAATGAATGGTGTAGGTAGTGTTGTGAGGCGCGAATATTTCCAAGCGAATTTTGAAATATTTCCGGAAATATTCGAGAATATTCGCATTGCTAAGAACGAATATTCGCACACAGGAAATTTAAGCAGCGAATATTTCCCGTAAATTCTCGAGAACTTTACAAGAACATTCTTCGGAAACTTCCATTTTATACTTGCAGCTGATTTCGCGATTTCACGAGGTTTCGCGAACACGTGCATTCAGTGCTAGTATCTGTAAGGTGAACTGGTGAACAGTAGTGCACTTTTAGTAGTGCGGAGCGGATTAGTTTAGGTACTTTGTGAATTGAGACAACTTGTAACTGAAATGCCGAAATACAAAGGCCGTATATGGTCATATTTCAAAGAGGTTGACAGAAATGGTAAAAGTAATTTTTTGTGTATATTTTGTGGTATGTCGTATACAAAAAATGCCACACGAATGCAATCTCATTTGAAAAAATGTGCCAAATGCCCCCCGCACATTAAGAAGTCGTTTGAATTGCAATATTCGCGCTCGTCATCAAGGGCATCGCATTCCACAGGTGAGTTTAATCAACTTTACGCGATTGCGGGTATGAGATGACGCAACGCAATATTATTAAACAATTTCAGAAATTGATGCAAGTTCAGATAGATCTTATTCTGGGTCGTCTGTAACCACAGAAAGTAGTATTTTAAGGAATTTTGTTGATTCTATCGATGACAATACCAAGAAACAACTAGATAGAAAACTAGCAAAAGCAATTTACTGTTCTGGCTGTCCACTTCGTATTGATAGAAAATTCTTACTGGCAAAATTTCTTCAAGTCTATACGACCATCCTACCAAATGCCATCCAGATATCAGATATCAAATAAACTTCTGAATGACGAGTACGAATCTATAAAATTTGATGTATATGCAAAAATTAAACAAGCCTCTACAGTTGCGATTCAGTGCGACGGATGGTCAAATATTAGGTTTGTAAACATTTCGTTTTTAAACCACCATAAATTAACAACAATTATGAAATTTTAGAAATGAGGCCGTAATAAACTTTATTGTTACAACACCAAAACCGGTTCTCTTTAAAACAATGACAACTGGCGCGGAACGTCACACGGGAGAGTACATAGCCGAAGAATTATTGAAATGTATTGCGGAAGTCGGTGAGGAAAAAATTTTCGCTGTTGTTTCTGACAATGCCACTGCCATGGAGAAGGCAAAAAAAATTGTGACTACGAAATATCCGTACGTAACTGGATATTCCTGCGCGGCCCACACCATCAATCTCTTAGTGGAAGATATCATGAAGCTACAGTCTTTAAAGAATGTGGAGTCTTCATGTCGAGCACTTATTAATGAAATAAGGGGGTCGCATATAAATCAGGCAACTTTCAATAAAATTCAAATTGAAAAGTATGGTAAAGTAACTAGTTTAAAATTGCCTGTGAAAACAAGATGGGGATCCATCTTATATTGTTTGAATAGCCTCTTAATTACTAAACAAGCTCTGCAACTTCTTGTAATAAGCCAGGACGGTGAAGGAATCAAGTTGTCAAAAACTACTAGGCATCATATTCTGGACAACGATGTTTTCTGGATTAGGTTGGAGAAAATTAAAAGTATATTAGAACCCATTGTAAAATGGATTACTTTACTGGAAGGAGATTCTGCTAAGATGTCACAAGTTTATGTGGCGGTGGCTGAAATAGATGCATGCATAAAAACGAATGTAAAAGCATTACCAGTTTCTTCTTCTGAAGAAAAGGAGTTAATTACATTATTTGAAAAGCGAAAATGTATGATGTTAAAGCCTATACATTTGTCTGCCTATTTACTTGATCCACATTACTGTGGACAAGAGTTGAGCAATGAGCAACATGTAACTGCAATGCAGTTCATAGATTCAACATTATCTAACCATCCGCAGTTTCAACAGCACAAACAAACTATTTGCGTGGAATTAACTAATTATCTAGCAAAATCGGACATGTGGAGTGTGGACTTTGTGTGGCAAGTCGCATCAAATACTGATAGTATTGCCTGGTGGCAAGGCATATGCAACAAAACAAATCTAAAGGATTTGGCGGTCGCTATTATAGGACTCTCGCCGTCTTCTGCAGCAACCGAAAGGTCATTTAGCACATACTCGGTTTTGCACTGTAAAAGAAGGAACTTGCTGACTTCCGAGAGAGCTGGAAAACTGCTTTATGTCTCTCATAACTCGAAGTTGTTAGACGGAGAAACCAGTTATAATTTTAATTATGTTTATGACAATCCTATTCCAAATGTATTATTACTTGGAGAAAAATCAGCACCAACTATTAGCCTAGTCAATGAACCTTCAACTTCCAAAGAAGAAGAAAGAAATACTTCAAAGTCTATTCCAACAGTTCCATTAGAGTCCGATTCTGATTCGGAATCAGATTCTGAAAATGAATGTGAAATTTCTATTCATGATTCAAATTCTAGTATTGGTGCTGAAGAGTTTTCTGATCTAGATGATTCGGATTCTAAGCAAAAATGAAAATGAAAAATTCTATTTTCTTAGAATGAATGTTTTAGTTTTAGAGTTTTGTGGAGTTTTTTTAAGTTTTTCACTTTTATATATTGTTTCTGTTTGTATTACCTATATATCTTAAATAAACAATATAAAAATCGGATGCATTTTTTTGTTTTTAAAAAACATAACATTACTAAAAGATTGATTCACTCTTAGGTATATTGTAATTACTATAGAATATGGTATATTTTGTAAAAAATGAATATTACCATAAATTCTCCAAAATTCTCAAATATTCTCAAAAATTCCCGAATATTCGCAACAATAAATAAATTACGGGAATTTTACAACACTAGGTGTAGGTCGAGTTCGGCTCAATCAAGTAACAAAACGAACTGCGCAATGCTTGGGAATTAGCGAAAAAACAGTTCAAAGGGTGTCCAATGAAGCAAGTATCAGTGGTATAGTTTCAGGACCAAAACCAAAAAGTGGTAGACCTAAAATAGAGATCGATGATTTTATGAAGGGCGTTATAAGACGACAAATATTACATTTTTATATGGAAAAACGGTTTCCAACCATAGCCGAACTCTATCAACGACTGAAAGATGAGTGTCCAGATTTTCCGCAAGTGTGCAGCACCACAGTAACAAAAGGGGTAAAAGATATGAATTTTATCTATCGCAAATTGGAGAACAGGCCTATTTTAATGGAAGTGAATGCAATAGCTGCTAAAAGAGCCGAATATCTATACGCCATCAAAAGATATAGAGAAACGGGTTGGAATCTATTTTTTACAGACGAAACATGGTGTGGCGCAAACCATTCAAAAAAATTTAGTTGGGTGGAATATATAATCCCGGAAAACCGCGACAGCTTTGACCAATATCGAGGAACCATTCAAGAAATCAATGGGTACAGGGGTGGAATCAAACGACCTTCTGGAGCTGGGCAACGGATCATTATACTTGACATCGGCAACGAAAACTGTTTTTTACCAGGATGTAGCAAATGCTTCATTGGGAAGAAAGGGTCAGCAGATTATTTATTTATTTATTTATTTATTATCCCTCTCTTATTCTGGGCCCTCAACAGGCATGTGCCCAATTACAGAGATCATGACGAAATGAATAAACAGCATTTTGAGGAATGGTTACGATATGTCTTGGGGGTGATTCCCGATAAGTCAGTTATTGTACTTGATCAAGCACCTTACCATACAATGTTGAATCCTGAATTTCGAAACCTAACAACTGCATGGAGAAAAGCAGACATAATTGAATGGTTAAATAAGCGAAAAGTTCAGGTACCAGAATACTTCGATACATTCGATCAAATGACAAGGCCTTCACTTTTGCAATTATCTCGCATGTACAATTACAAAAAACAGTCTTTTCTGGAGAAAGTGGTAAACGATGTTCGACAGGTTAAAGTGAAGCTTTTATGGCTTACAGTAGCCCATTGTGAGTTCAACCCCCTTGAATTGATATGGGCGTATGTCAAAAATAAAGTTGCAAAGCTAAACACAACATTCAAAATTAAAGACTACATTTTACTCCGATAGTAGTGTAGGAGTGATAAAAAGAAGGTGATGTGAGAAATTCAATGCGAGTTATTGCATATAAATGCAATTCATAACCGATAATATTCAATAGTAATAATGGAGTCCAAATGTCAGTGGTTGTATAATTACGTGCAGGAGTACGTGCCACCAGTAAGTGCTTGTTCACAATGGACATAAGCGTAACAAAAACATAACAGATACATAATTCATAATGTTGAATAGTAGCAAACCAACGTATGTGTTCACAATGATTACATAATTTTTATTTTTTTGTAAATGTTTGCGTATCTTTTATGTCGTACCGAAACGGTACATAAAAATACATAAAGTTGGGTCGGTTTCAACTTTACGTAGGTTTTATGAAAAATCTAGTGGAATTAGGTGTATTTCTGTTGGGTACAAAGATGCAGCACTGCGCTGTTGGTTTGACATTTCAGTTACTATACGTCTAACGTTGATGACATCTCTTCTGCCAACATAATCTGGTAATTTTGAAATTGGTACATAGTTTTTGGCGGATTATTTCATAGTTTGGTGTGGTTTGGTCGTTCGTGCGTTATTCTTTGATTATCCAACCCGACATGGAAAATATAGACGTCGAATTACTAATTAGTTTGGTGCGATTAAAACCCTATTTATTTAATAAAGGGGACAAAAGATATAAGGACCTTGTCCTGAAGGAGAACGCGTGGAAGGAAATAGCGGATACGCTTAATTCTACTGGTAGGTTTAAATTTTCATTTACTGTGATTCAGACACACGATTCTTATTATTTTTGTGCAGTTCCTCAAATCGTGAAATTGTGGAAGTCGTTGAAGGATCGATTTGGACGCGAAAGAAAAAAGATCAAAATTATCCCTAGCGGCAGTGCAGCTGGGGAGCGTACAAATTGGGCTTGGTACGATGACTTGTCGTTCTTGAACGAGTTCATCACTGAAAGACGAAGGAGCTCTAATATGAACAAATGTTCAGGCTTAGAAACTAAGTTGTCCACACAAGATATGCTAAACAGCCAAGCATCAGTTTCATCAATGGATGGTGGTAGTGACGTCGAATCGCACAGTAACGGCATATTATTGGTTGAATCTCAGCCTCAATATAATATGCAGGCTGCAGATGGTATGTTACTTCACTTTCCCTATTTACGACTTTATGTCTAAATTTGTTACTGATTTAAATGCAAATTCGCGAGAAATACCATTTGCAACAATCCCATCTTCTGTACCAACACAGCCGGTGAGGGGTATTATGAAGAAAAGTAAAAACATATCACAGGCACGCGAGCGTGCGGATATACCTGCTGACCTCCTTCCTGATGGTATGTACCTACCTAAGTAAACTGTGTTAACGTTACATTTACTTACTTATTCATATAATTTTATTTATTTAAATTAATTAAATATCATTAATTTATTTTACAGAAGTGATACGCCCTTCCACGTCTACCAAGCGGCTGGTGGAGACGCCGTCAACCAAGCGCCTCGAAAACACTCCGAAGAATCTTCTAAAAATGTCGAATGCAGTTGATACGTGCATTCTGGACACACTGCAAACTCTTAACAACAGAAAAGTCTGTGAAGAGTCCGCTTTTGGAGAGTTGGTGGCTACTGAACTGTCCCGAATTAAGAATACCTCCAAGAGGAGGGAATTAAAACGAAAAATTGTAGAGCTAATTTATTCAGAGGACAATTATTAAATTATGTATTCAAATTATAACCATTGAACAAAATTAAAATTATTAAGCTATGTCCGTTTAACATATTCAATTTGTCCCTGTTTAAAACCCGCAGGCGTCAAAAAATATTTAGCTAGATTATTCCTCATTTGATTCGTAGTAAATGAGGCATTATTGCTGCCCAGTCTAGGACATGGTTCTAGGCTGCAACCTTCTACTTCCTGCCTCCACCGTCCCAAAACATCTTCATTGTCCACATAATTCGGTGGGGAATAGCGGTCCCGTGCTGGTAGCGAGCGTCTTATAAAATTATGCAAGCATACAGTGGCCTTTATTATGCTGTCCGCTGTGCCAGGTGATGCACAGATTGCTCGGTGAAAAATTCTCCATCTTGCAACTAATATGCCAAACGTATTTTCAATTACACGTCGTGCTCGCGATAACCTATAATTAAATACTGCTTTCAACACATTCAGCATTTTTCCCGAAAATGGACGCATTAAATTTTCGCACAATGGAAACGCCGCATCACCGACAAAAAAATATCCCATCAACTCATTTCTACCAGGCAATACATCTCGTCCTGGTAAAGGCATTGTTCCATTTGATAATCTTTGTCCAAATGTGGATGAACTAAAAACGCCTCCATCACTAATGGATCCATAGGCTCCAATGTCCACGTATATAAAGTTGTAGTCGGCATCGCTAACTCCCATCAAAATCACGCTAAAGAAGCCCTTGTAGTTGTAAAATAACGAACCACTTTTAGCAGGGGCGGTTACTCGTATATGTTTCCCATCGATACTCCCAATGCAGTGTGGCATGTTCCAGATTTTCCAGTAATCGCCAGCAATTTTTTTTAAATTTGCATCAGTTGGTTCTGACAATACGATTGGAGATAGTACATTCCATAATACTTCTAGTACTTCCTGTATGACTACACAAACCGTTGATTTTCCGATATGGTAGCTGTTGGCAATTGAAAAGTAGCTATCTCCAGTAGCTACAAATCTGCATAGAATACGCAAATAATATAGGTATTCTTTAAAAAATGTAAAAGGGTATTTACGTACCTCAAAGTGATCAGTAGTCGTTGACTTGGACTTAAGGACTTTCGAATACTTTTCTTCAGCAAATTAGGACCGACTAAGGATAATAGATGATCGAATAATGCTGGAGTCATCCTGGTGTATGAAAAAAACCATTCTTCATCATGCAGCTTCATTTCTAGATACAATCGCTTAAATTCTCCCCTTTTCTCTCGGTCTCGATTTATAGGTCTGACCCACCAGCGCCGTTTTTGTTGTGTAACAACTTTGTCTCTCTGTCTTCTTAACAGCAAAAGCAATAAAACCGATGAAATTTCCATCTCAGTGACACACACAATATACACCACACTATGTTCTTGACGTTTTGCCGAGTTTAAATTTCGGATTTGCGCCTACGCAGATAATTATAATCTTACGGTCACTGTGAACAGTTTCTCCACCTGCGTAAAATTATGTCTTATGCCAATATTATGTTTTATGTATCTGTTATGTTTTTGTAACGCTTATGTCCATTGTGGACAAGCACTAAGTTTTCTTTTAAAATTGATTAAATGATTGCTATTGTAATAATAGGGTTATAGATTTATGTGCCCATGCGCACACACCTTACAATACAACGAGCGGCGGCACGTGCTCTTATTTATCGAGCCGTTCTTTGCAGACCATTACATTTGGCTATTTGCCAATAACAACAATGAGCCTGAGGGACGAGGCTTGGTGGACGCTCGAGTAGGGCCGTAAGTGACTATAGTTAAGAGTTGTAAATCTAATCATTACTACTTTCAGGAGGTACCAACAGCCATGCTATAACTGTATATAACTAACTAACTGTACAATTTTTATACTTATATTAATAAATACAATGTTACGAATAGACTACTCGGTGGTTGTATAATTACGTGCAGGAGTACGTGCCACCAGTAAGTTTTCTTTTAAAATTGATTAAATTGTTGTCACACAGTAGAAAATCAATGAATGAATTTATCCAATTTTTAATGACTACATAATTATAAATCGAGAACAAATTACTCATGGAGCTAAACTCAAAATCTAAGTAGTCATCTTCCTCCCGATATTGGTAAAATAGCCTTGTACTATGCAATCACGTAATTGTGTAATGAGAATTTCTAACCACTGACAGGATTCTGTGGATGATCAAGGTTCTGCACGTGTTAGTGCTTTGCTCACCATAGGGTGTTGTCAGGAGGATATGACGCCAAGAGTATGAAGAGTTAAATAGCAGATGAGGATTGCTAAGCGGACGGTCGGTAGTACACAGTGCCATACAATAGTTATAATCTTCCTACCAGAATGCAAAGGTAAGATTTTGTAATATTTGCTTCAGCTTACAGATAAACAATAAACCTTTAAACAATGCAATTCTCTATCTGTAACTACGATCCCCAATTATAGTCACGTCACCTCTCGTATGCATAGAGCTACCCCCTAGACGTGACACTATTCTGTTAAGTGCCTCTGCCAAATTCACAGATGTGTGGCTTTCAGGAAAAATTGCACACTCTAGAAGCACTGAGTGAGGTTTGAAATCTGCATCAATAAAATGCGCAGTTACCGCCATAAAATGTCGTTGTTTCTTGAACTCCAGCAGTCCGTTGTGATACATGCTTTCCTTACTCCCGAAGTGACGTCTTTGGTAACAGTCTTACACTTCTCGTACATAAAAGGAATTAGAGTTTTTGATATAGTTTTACGAGAATGCAAGTCGTAATTTGGATTCAGCTTCTTGACGAAAGCTCTAAATCCCTTGTCCTCTACAATACTAAACGGTTGGAAATCTGTTATAAATAATTGAAGTAAAGCATCACCTATTTGTTTCTTTGTCAACTGGGAAATCTTTTTTGGAATAAAACTAGTCATTCTTTGCTGTACGGTTGTCGTTGAATGAAGTTTTGGAACATGCCGTGGAGTTTGTTCGGCTGTAGTAGCAGTAGTTGGTGTTTCTTCTGGTGCCTCCTGAACTTTTGCATTCTACAATTCGATAGGAAATTTAATTATTAAGGATGCACGGTTTATTGTACATTCCATTGTAACTTACATCATTTGCAACTGGATCTACTACATCGAATTTAACAGTTGGGTGCTTTCTTTCTAAATGTCGTTTTAGATTAGATACAGAAGTCTTGTAAGACAATGTTTGTTTACAGATGTCACATTTTGCAAAATTTCCGTCAATGGGGGTAAAAAATTGCCATACTTTACTAGTTTTCTTTTTCGCGTCCATTGCGCCACATAAACATAAAAGGAATAAATGAACGGCAATCGAATTATCAAATAACTGAATCTGAAAACTGGGAGCACCTTTTGCATTTAAAATATAAACTGAAGCTGAACTGGTGGGTCGCTAAATCTTGTAAAATGTAAATTCTGAACGTGGAACGTGCAATTGTGCATTATCGTCAGATTTCAGATAAGAAACGGAGATATAAGAAATACGTTTATTTATATTTTATTTTCTTGCTACAGTTTTAAGATTCCGAAGCGTCAGCCGTGTTTGATGTGTTGGCCTTGGCGTGGGAGCGCTATCATTAAAATTAATTACCGCTCTTTGGTGTTCATGCTGTTTTGCCTGCGAATTGCGAACTGTGAGTCAAGTCAATGACTAGACTAGCACAATTTCCAATCCTATCACTGTTACAAAGTCACTGGTTCCGGTCACAGTGATTGGTCCGGAGCAGTCACACATCACTGTGACTATGAAATCACGGTTTGGCACATCTCTAGATTAGGCACGTTTAAATTGTTAAACCACCACAAAAACTCCGTGGCTTGAAGCCAGACAGTAGTTAAACAAGGAGAGTTCTGGCACAATGTAAATCTCCATAAGCGCAATGTATTTCTTATGGGAGATTTCAGTGACAAAAACTCACTTTTTGGATCGGTCTTGATTGCGGTGTTTTTTGTGGGGTTGTAGATGTGTGTTTAGGGGTTAGTAGATGTATGGGGGGTGGTTGTTGATGAGGGTAGTAAGAAAAATAAATTTTGAGATGTCTTAGTAAGACGAGACGGGTCTGCGGTGTTTTTTTTTGTGGGGTGGTAGATTGTGTTTGGGGGTGGTTGCAGATGTGTTTAGTGGGTAGTAGATATGAGGGTGGTTGTGTGTTAAGGGGTAGTAAGAAAAAATTGGCCAGCGCGCGATTTCTAATTTTAGTTTCTGTTATTTTAGTAGAGCGCGAGTGTAAATGTATTTGTTATGGGATGAGATTTTGTGTACAAAGTTGCGAAAATCTTCATAAGTGCAATGTATTTCTTATCTAGAGATGAGTGATTTCGTGTATAGTATGCAAGTATGTGATACTTTTGAGGTTTTCCTGTTGACACATTACGCATCATTCTGTAAGTGACGATTTGTTATGAGAAAATGATGAGTAAAATGCGTGTAATATCCACAATTGATGACATTATTGCGGATTATTAATCCTTTTTATCAATAAGGGATGTATGCATCCGCGATTTTCTCCTATAAAAGACAATTTCTAATGTTAATTATAAAAGTCGCGCTTACATACAATGGCACTAAACTTGACAAAATGCCAGTGGTGGCATCTGCAGGTGCATCAATTTGTGCCTGAGGTAAGAAAACTATATTATGCTTTTGAAAATTAATAATAATTTATAATTTTGCAGGGGTATATTTTATTGTGCCCGTGTGCTCACAATATCCACTATAATGAGCACAGAGATCTACTCCTATACATGGAACCTTTCTTCGGGGATTATTTTAGATGGGTGTTTACGAACAGTTTGCCCGAAGGAAGTGGTGTTGCCTACTGCAGAGTAGGACCGTAAGTTGTTGTTTTGTGCTTGTTGTTGAAAATTATTTACAATTGTAATTCTCTTTAGCGTGTCTTAGTTATAAATGTAATATAATTCTTTTTCCAGACGAATCTGCATCTACAATGTACAGAATTGTATATAGGAATAGGAAGGAGAAGCAACGACGACGACGACGACGATTCTGCAATATATAGAGAAATTGTTTATAGGAATGTTATAACAATTTATTAAATAAAATTGTGTATAAGTATTCGTACACATTTATTAATTACAATACATAAAACATTAAGCGTCTTAAACAAATGTTAGAGAATGATGCAAGGGTCTTAAACAAAATATAAAAAATGTTAGAGAATGATGCTGAAGTATTTACAGTATTAGACATAAAACATTAAGCCTAGTATAGTCCACTGCAAAGTAGATAGTTATCAAATTCTAACAGATCGATTTTGAGTGGATCTTTATTAATATGACAATAAGAGCTATAATGAGGTAAATCACTTAGTTCCAACTCAGGTTGTAGAATGATATTAAGTTTATCATATTCAATGTTCATAATAAATTCTTGAACTCTGCGAATACAGTCAATTTCACGTTCTTTATCGTACTTTTTACAGCCCGCAGCAGCAGAAGCAGCTTCATTGCCTTCTTCTTCTTCTTCTTCTTCTTCTTCTTCTTCAGTGTCACTATTACATTGTTAAACAGCGATGATGATGATGCGGCCGTCAGGGATGACAACGAGTACCATGATGCTGTAGGCTTGAGTTTTGTTGACTGTGGTGGTGGTGGTGGCATTATCCATGGATGGTTACATATTGATGTGGGACGAATTATTTCAAAATATTCGTGAGGCTTTATGTGTCTAGACCTAACAAAATCGCAAACTTCAACTAGAAGCGATGAATTATTGAACACAGGCGCCAGTTTAACATAACTTTTTTCAAAAATTTTAATGTTAGTGTTTCACGCACAGTTGTTTTATACATAATTTTTACTACCCGTTCTAACCACAATCTTTGTAAATATTCTAATAAAATGTTCGGCGTGATAATATGACCGTATATGTTTGATGTTTCAAAAGATTGTAATTTAAACTTGTTTAAAAGTGTAATTCCACAAATTTGTTTTAAGCTCCTAGGTTGATTTAAAAAAATGAATTTCGTATAACCTGCACGTTCTTTTACAAATTCAAAATCTGTAGTATATGGCAGTAGCACAATTTCCTCTTCTTGATTTATTTCGATTGTTTGTCTATGACCATCAATTGCAGATAGAGTTAATAATACTTCAGCACCATTCTCTGACATTTTTATAAACACTTCAACACACCCCACACACACGCAAATATAGAAGTCGTTAGAAGAGTTAATTATATACTCTAACGCTTATCAATTTTTATGTCACCGTGGTTTTCTGTTGACGCAAACGGATGTCGCGGTTTCATGTTATCGCAAACGGATGTCGCGGTTTTCTGTTGACGTCGGCGCGCGGTTTCATGTTGACGTGCGAGGATTCGAGAAATTTGACATTCATCAAGGAATGGTGCTGAGAATATAAAATGTGAAAATATGGTCAGGTTATTAGTTTTGAAGATCTACTTTGATTGTAATCAGTCGTGTAAATTACAAAAAAATAAATAATATGGATTTCAACAAAATTTTGAAGAACATTAATTCTGCCGGCATGCTCCAAGAAAGGAAAGTTTTGAAAATTGAGGAAATGGAAATTGGGAAACTATATACAATTAAAAAACACAAATCAATAATGAACCATTATGGAAGAGGAATTGTCTGCGAGCTTGAGGAGGATGGTAATGTTTCCATATTTCTACCTCAACGAATGGTGCGGGAAATCGATGATGATGATGATGATGATGCTCTTACAATTTTGAATGGTAAATATAAAAGAATGGGGATTGTTGTGCATGGTTTACATAATGATCTTCCAAAAAAATTCAACTAGTACCAGTCGACTAGGAACGAGGAAGAGGTGGGGGAGGTTTCAAGTTTACATTAATTATGGTTGCATCGTAATAATATATGGCTTTCAATCGTTTGTGTGAAATTGAAAATTACTGGGATAATGGGTAAATCTTTAAAATTAAGGTTGCACGAATTATGTGAAGCGCCGTTGAAGTTTCCGGTTCGATAACAATGTTCCATAACTTTCCCATCATCATCGTCAGTAGTTAAACAAGGAGAGTTCTGGCACAATGTAAATCTCCATAAGCGCAATGCTAAAGTATGGGTTCATTTCAGTGACAAAAACTCACTTTTTGGATCGGTCTTGATAGCGGTGTTTTTTTCGAGGTTTGAGGGGTTGTATATGTGTGTAGGGGTAGTGGATGTGTTTTAGGGGGGTTGTGTGTTAAGGGGTAGTAGGTAAAAACAAATTTCTAATTTTAGAATCATGCTTAGTAACACAAAAGCGGCGTACTTGATTGCGGTGTTTTTTTCGGGGTTGTATATGTGTGTAGGGGTAGTAGATGTCTTTTAGGGGGGTTGTAGATAAGGGGTAGGTAGGTAAAAACAAATTTCTAATTTTAGAATCATGCTTAGTAACACAAGCGGCGTACTTCATAAAATGTATAACTTAGTAGTAGTCGTTTGCGGTTGAGATTTATTTTTAGATGTTATCTTAGTAACATAGCGTTAGAAATAAAACGTCTTGCGGTTCTGTTGATAAGACAAACACATGTGTTTGTGGTTTACTATAATCCTTCAATGGTTGTAGTGTTATCGATGTAGTACAATATTTGTTGCAAGTTTTCGATACAGATTTCGAGATTGTGGTCTACAGATGGAAAAATTTACAATGTTGCTGAAGCAAATATTTATAACATTGAGGTTTTACAACAGAAAAATAAAACGTTATCAAAATGAAATAGGTATAAATATGCAACGTAGTTTAGTCAATATCATTCAAATTTTACTCTCCATAGGTATTAAGAAAAAATGTCAACTATAAACGAAATTACTGTGCCTATGAATAAATGCGAGTGGCTCTTTTCAGTGATTTGTCGGTATGTACCATCGGTAAGTAATAGTGCTTTTCAAGTAATTGTAATCATAACTAATGGTCATATTTACAGGGATATACAGTGCTTTGCCCATGTGCACATAATCTAGTCTACGATGAGACCGAGCACAATTTATTGTTCTTAGAGCCATTTTTTGGGGATCATTTTATTTGGGTGTTTGAGACAAAATGCAGGAGCTCAACAACAATTTTTTGCAGGGTAGGACCGTAAGTAAGGTAACAATTTTTTTGTTTCAATAATTATGTTTGCTTTTATTATTACAGACGACGTATGTCCACCCCAAGAAATTGTTTTTGCTAAATTGGAGGTTTTACCTACTGTTATTTAATAAAAAATATATTTGAGTTATCTTTTTTTATTTTGTGACATATGTATGTATATGAGACCTGTTTTATTATTACAGACGACGTATGTCTACCCCAAGAAATTGTTTTTGTTAAATTGGAGGTTTTACCTACTGTTATGTTATTTAATAAAATATATTTGAGTTATCATTTTTTATTTTGTGAGATATCAACCTGAAGAAGAAGGAAGAAGAAGAATTGATTTAATTAGATGAACATGCGAATGCGCGAAAGTAGCAGTGTCCTTTTCATTTTGCAGCTGCGGTCCATAAATTTTGTTGTTGTAAAATTTGATGATTTCGCGATTTATGTACCTTGTCAATAACTTCTCCCGGATATCTATGCAATATTTCAAGGATGCACAATATGTTGAACGAATTAATATTGAGTGATGGATTCAGAATTGAAAACGCTGTATTTATAAGATCATTTGATGACGTTGCATCGACATATTCGGCTATTAAATCGATGAATCGTTGATAAAATATATTGAAATTATACGAAGTTAACATTTCAAGATAGTAATTAACCATATGTTTCAAACGAAACAATTTGATAAAACTTTCTACTTCCACAGAACAACGAAATTCTCCATCACCGTAGTGTAAAGATCTAGCTTTGGGATTATGGTATATTGCACTATCCATTTCACGATAATTGACAACTTCATCATCTTCGTCGATGAAAGTTGAAAGTTGAGTAAGATTATACCATTCTGGAGGTGTAAAATCAATAAAACCACAACATTTTGAACATCCTATTCGTACAATAGGAGCTGCATCCTTCCATAAACTATATCCAATCGATAGAATTTTTTCACAGCCGTTTCCATTACTGTCATATTTATAAATGAGAGGTGAAATTAATTCATCTGTATGGTTCATAAACGTATAATTATCTTCTACTTCTGATGTTTGTGTTGATATTTCGTTGAAATCAAGACCATAAATATTATTCCAACACGTTTTTGTGATACCCCCATCGCTAACGGTTGAAACTGTTGATTTTGGTGATGATTGTGGTGGTGGTGTTAGAGGTGTTGGTGATGATGATTCTTCTTCAACATCCATAAATAGTGGCACTTTTCGCGATTTTGATCTATTTAAGAATTCGTTAATTTTTTCTTGTGGAAAAACTTGTTGATGTGACATTGTTCATGCACTGCACTTTTAATACTGAAGTTTACTTAAATGTTTTGATTTCTTTTGAACCTTTCCCACCCTCTCTCGAATACACTCTTGACAATTAATCATTTGTGACGCAGGACCATCAATTTGTATTTCATATCTATTATTCCAATAATGTTTATAGCAAAATTGATAATTAAAAAGTTGACGTTTATATTCGTCAGGTAACTTATCAAAATATTGTCCCAACTGTGTTTGAGCATGTTTTTTCAAATATTCAATTGGTATGTCAAGAATTTCTTCTTTTGACATATTCTCAAGAGTTGTAAAATTTTTTATTGCACGATTTATATTATCCATTTTTAGATCAACAACGTTTAGTCTGACGTTCAACACGAAACTACATTTTGAGAGTTTGTTTTCAACTTTTATCAGTCTGAGACATCTACAATTTTTATTCGCTAATGTAGTCATCGTCACTATCGAAGGCGCCATCATCATCTATAAGATTTACATCTGAATCCGACTTACTCAATAAACTTGTTAAAAGGTTTTTAAGTTGTTGCAAAATTGTCTCCTGAGGGCAAGATAGACCAAAAACACCAAGATCCTTTTTAAACGATCTCACTAATCGAGCGCTAAATTCATCATATTCATAGACATGCTGTTTATCGAAAAAATATATGAGACCATTTGTAAATCGTAATACCGAATCAAAGCTGGCCGGTGACCCTGGGAAAGTTTTCACGTGTATGCCGTGACTTTTAGCCATCATTGTACATTCACCAAGTTCCATAACGTAGTCTTTATTGTAAAAAATATATGTTCGCCCTGTATAAGTATTAAGTGCACCGTGGATTTTTGCTGCAGCATTCAGACCTAATACGGTATTCACTCTGGGATACCCGTGTACCAGTCTTAAGGATGGAAATTCCATCATATAGATGTCGTTATTTATAAATAAAACAATTTCACCGCTAGGTCGTTGATAGATTGCATCAATTTGATTGAAGGTCTTCGGTAACCATGTTAACCAATTCGTTATTAATATTGGATCTGTATACACTTTTTTATTTAATGCAATTATCCATAAATATTTTTTGTAGAACACGTAGAGCCTCTCATTCACCACCAAAAATGTATTAATAAATTTCATTTTGGCACATAAATCTGGTTTTTTATCAGCACTTGCAGTTTTTTGTGTATGATGATGATACTGCGTATGAGAAATACTACTCTGACTACTAGTACTACTACTACTACTACTACTACTACTACTACTACTGATGGTAGAAGTAATAGATTCCGAAGGTAATCGATGTGAATAATCTTTAGCCCCGTACAAATTTTGTATAGCCAGCATATCATCCATTGTTAAATCTAAATTTGAATTATCGCGATGAAGATGATGATAATACACAGCGCTCATGATTGCCGCAGGGTCACCAGAATGTTGAATCCCTAATGTATGTCCAATTTCGTGTACTAATACAAAAAGTAAGTTGCTTAAATTTGATGGTACCATGTCCGTTCCTAAATACCAATCATAATCAGTTCGCAAATGAATTTCTAAACGTTTTACTCCTCTTTCAGGTAAAAAACCATGAGCCATTACATCGCCCACTAAATTATGAGGACACCTTACGTTATGGGTCAAATATGTATGATAACCGTTGCGCATTGAAATTAAAATATTTGGATTATTTGGATCATGTATAAACGTTAAGTTTGCGTGACGAGCCCAAATTTGGAAAGCCATTTCGGCTAGGTTGTACAATTGTTGATTTGCATTATGAAATTCCACCTAATAGTTGACGATGGCCATTTCGCACGATGTACTGAAAATTCT